TTGCAAGTAATTGTGTATTGTTGATTGAACGAAATGTGTAATGTGTAATGTGTATTGTTGCTTTTATCGTTCTTTGGCTCGAATTTGGGTTAAAACCCAGAATTTTCCGACTCACACGGCCAGGCCACACGGCCGTGTGACTTTCCCAGCTGCCCATGTGAGTGTCCAAACGTGGCGTTTCGATTAGTGGGCAACCAGGCAAGCTGCACGGGCAGAGGCCACACGGTCGTGTGGCTCCCCAGGCTGCCCGTGTGGCTTTTACCGAGCCTTCACACGGCCACAAGGGGCCCCTACACGGCCGTGTGAGGTGCAATGGTGCCCGTGTGCCTTCTCAGCTTCTCGCCAAACGTCCAAACTTCGTCCAATCGACCCCGAACTCGTGCCCAAACCTTCATTCACGTACTAGGACCTGAAATATTACAAACAAGCACAACCTAGCGTGAAATCGGCCTAAAACACGAGAATCAACATCTCAAACGGCTCAAGAATAGGGGTAAAAACATGTGTAATTAATGGTCTATCAATTAGCTTGGGAACTCCGCCGTTGGGTTGCTCTATCTAAGGGAGAGATTGTGCAAAGATCATAATTTTTCTTTCTCCTCTATTTTCAATCCAATCTCTTCTCTCCACTGTATTGTTGATTGAACGAATTGGGATTATATCAAGATAAAAGGAATAGTTCCAAGGGGATAGAAATAAAACCAAATTGAAACCACACTCAATTAAATAAACTAAGATAATATGAATAGTACGAATGCATTGAAATAAAAACCAAATTGAAACAACAATCAATTCAATAAACAAAGAGAATAGGAATAGTTCCAAGTACATAGAAAACAAATTCAACTCAAAATATAACTCAAGGAAGTCCACGAGCTTCACCGGAACCCACGGTTTTCTTGCTCCTTGTACGACGACCGACGGGAGTAACAACAGGTGGTTGCGGTGGCAAGTTTCGAACTCGAGCCGAGGTAGTTTGGCACTTATTGGTGCAATGTCGGCGGGGAATCGACACTTCCGGGGTTGAGCGGGGGACATCCACGCTCATACGGTGAGGAGTAGGAGGCCACTGCTGATGAGGGCGAGTCAATGGGTTGAATTCGTGGTGCGCCGTTGTGGAGGAACCATCATGACAAGTACCCGATAATGTTTGGCGAGGAGTAGACCGGGCGGGAATCGTAGTATGCTCCTTGGCGGGGAGATGGGGGGTAGACCGGGTGGGAATCGTAGTATGCTCCTTGGCGGGGATCGTTGTATGGGATCAGGGTGGGACTCGGAGGGTTTTGATGGTAGGTCGAGCGGGGATCGTAGTATGAGCCTTGGCGGGGAGTTTGGGTGGAACTCGGGCCGGCACCTTGGGGCTCACTCGGGCCGACACCTTGGCTCACAACCAATGGGGGCGGCACTTTCCACCCGGGATATGGCGTTACGTCGGGCCTTTCCCGAACCCTCTTGCTCTTCTTCCTCTTGTATGGTGGTGGGGGATCGGGGACATCAACTTGTACCGAAGGTGGCGGGGGTGCGAGCATGGGCGGATATCTACGATGATCCTGACCCTGAGCTCTGATACAGCCAAGAAGACTGTTTGCCATCCTCCTGATGAAGCTCACATCTTCATTTCCCAGCTCAATCCTCCCGGTGGTCATGTCTTTAATCCGCTCGATCCCATCAGCCTAAATCACAAAAAAATAAGTTAGAAAAAAATTTAGGAACCAAGTAATACATTTAATTATACAGAGTGGAATATACTTACTAATGCACCATCGGCCGCACCCTCTGGAGTCATGTAACGAACCGATGTTTGCCGATATCGATCCAAGTATGGGTCATGATACCCCATTCGACCCACTTGGGCTGGAGTGACAATATCTTGCATTTGTCGGTTCTCCCACATGGTGATGAATTTCTCCAGCTTCAAGGGCCAATCTCGAGTACCTTGGCAACCATCTCGACCATGAAAGGCCCTTTGACTATCGGGGACCTCCAACGGAATGCACTGCTCCCGACCAAACTGACGGAGGCATCGATCCGGCAAGTGACACTCCACGGTCCCAAAACAAATTAGAGGGACCCTCGTGCACCATTGCCCGATATGCTCGGGGAATTGCTGGAGATGCCAATGAACGATGTTCTCCGGGTATGGATCGAAGACGATCTACAAGAAAGAAATGAGTAACTTAAGATAGTAAGAATTGGAAAAATACATGTAGTCTATGGAAAAAGATATAAATGGATCGAAGTATAGAAGTTACCTCTCCTTCCCAAAGTCGCTCTAACCTCCTCTTATACTCGTCCAACTAGTGTTGGGCAAGGTTGTCGCAAGTTGTGTTTCCGAGCCACCTTATTAATAAGACAATAATGAAACTACAATAAGCTAAAACACAAGGGAAAATGTGTTATGAAAAAACATGATGGGGTATGAGAAGTTTACCTTGTACCATAAGCTTCCCCTCTTAGGGGATGATCGATTGGCCAATCCCTGTCGGGACGTTGTACCAGTGCAATCCATGGCATATGCTCCCAAGCCCAAAATTGGACGATGAACATTGCGCCGCCGACCTCCCTCACAGCTTTTAGAGACGCATTGCACAAGTTGTGGTAGATATTAGCTAAGCAAGCGGATGCCCAGCTATACTCCCCCATCTCCTCCCAACTACCGAGGATGATCCTAAGCCATCCACAACTAAGGAGATTGCTTGATTTTTTGGAGAAGAACACTCCTCCGATCATGCCTATGAGATAGACCCGAGTATATCTCTCCTTCTCATCCTCCGGACTTTCCTCGGTTAGGGGATGACTCTCGTAATGGTCTTGAAAATACTTCGTCAACCAAGTAATTGAGACTTGGTGTTTCCTCATTGGTGGCATGCGATCGGTCACATAAACGCACCCCTTCACTGGTACTTTCACTCCCAAAACACTGTGGATGAAATGAACCCAACCAGGCATACCGTCACAATCCTCGGGGGGATGATCACTCACGCACACCGGTTTGCCGTCGATGGGCAGATGGGTTAGGATGGCGACATCGTTTAGCATGATGGTGGCCTCTCCTTCTCTAAAGTTGAAACAATGGGTCTCCTTTCTCCATCTCTCAACTAATGCGGTGATGAGTTGGCGATCAACTTTGATGCCGTTAAAATGCCTAATCGGGTCCAACCGTGCCCTTTTGAGAAAGGGCAAGATAGCTGGGTGGAATGGGAGCACATTGGTTGCACCCCTTAGCGGATTATTGTTTGTGCCTCCTAGGGAAAATTTACACGTTAATTATTATATATTAGTAAGGGTTTTTTTCCTTATAACTAAATTAATTAAACTAAATTATTTAACTTCAAGCATAATTTTATTATCATAAAAAGACATTTCATATAATTAACATAATAACATTCTAAATTAATAATAATTTAAAGAGATACATAAATATTATCATAAAACAAACATCCTAAATTAATTAACATAATAACTTTCTAAATGAATAATAATTTAAAGAGATACATACATATTATCGTAAAACAAACATACTAAATTAACTAAAATAAATGACATTGTTAATGAATAATAATTTAAAGAGAAACATACATATTCAAATGTTTGAAATCAATGAAATTCATTTTGTACACATCAAACTAAATCGTATTGGTTGTTTAGTAAATAATTTAATCGTATTGGTTGTTTTAAATAATTTAATCGAATACAAAGCAACACTCGTTAGACTCTTAGAAGAGGTATACATCTTCTTAGAAACGCAGTCTTTTTGACAGAAAAAGGGGGGGATCCGAGGATCTCTTAATACCCGATTTTCCCAGGGAATGGGAGGATATGATAATCGCTTAAAACCCCATTTCCTTAGACGTGCATCTCTTTACAAAGAGTCGAAGTATGTGGCACTATGTATTCGATTAAATTATTGAAAACAACCAACACGATTAAAAATTCAACATAAATTTATTTTATATTCCACTAAATACATTAACAAAATAAAAGAATGACAAATGGTAAAGAATTGTATGTACCGGGTAAGCGTTTCAAACATCCCTTGACCGATGGTTGGGTTGGTCGTACAAGTCTGTTGGATCCAACGGTCCTTGCTCGAGATAATACCGTTGGTTGTATATATTCACGTCCTCCCCAACCTACGAGAAAATAACAACGAGGTTAGTACATAGATTAATTAAAAAGCTTATAACAACAACAAAAATTAAATCAGAATAATGAGTACGTACCGCTTGAAATTCATCAACATAAACTCCCTCTCCTTGCCACCATTTTTTGGCAAATTCGGATAGAGCTTCGGCTCGGCTGGTTTTGAGGAAAAACCCAAAATTCGGACAGAGATTCGGCTCAGCGGTTTTGAGGAAAAAACCTAAAAATGTTTTCTGATGGCAGATCGGACTTAGCCGCAACCAACAGACCACTATTTCCTAGGCTTTTGGGAGGGGAGGGTTTAGAGAGATAAATTCTAGAGAGAGAAGGAAGAATGGGTTGTGGTGTGAAGAAATGAGAGGGGAAGGGGGGGTATTTATACCCAACAGACCGCACCCTCCAGGGGCGGTCGGGTAATTTTGCCCAAAGAGAAACCGCGCCCTCCCGAGGCGGTTTGCGCTTCCCTAGCTTTGACCGCATCTCCGCGATGCGTTCTCCGATCCGTGGCGCGGATCGCTCCGCTGGCGCGCGTTCAGCCCTCCGATCGCTCCTCCATCCAACGGTCTTCAAGACCGTTCAGCAGAATCTTGAAACCGCACCTTCCTTGTGCGTTTCGTATTCTGAACTGGCTTGGAACACACCCCTATGGTGCGTTTTATATGTAAATCGCACCCTACAGGTGCGGTTTATTTATAAAACGCACCTTAGGGGTGCGTTCCAATAAAATTGGTGCTATTTCTGTCAATTTTTTCGGATGGGTGCTAGTTTTGTAATTTTTTTTAAAGGTGCTATTATTGGAAAAATCCCCTCGTAAGACTCTTATGAGAGGTATATATCTCCTTAGAAACACAGCCTGTTTGACAGAAAAATGGGGGATCCGATGATCGCTTAGAACCCGATTTTCCTAGGAAATGGGAGGATCATGATGGTCGCTGAAAACCCCATTTCCTTAGGCATGCATTACTTTATAAAGAGTCTAAATAAGTGTTGTATTGTATTGATTTAGTCCTCGTTTTTCCAATTAACAAAAGTATTAGACCAATGAAATAGAACTCTTATCGGTCCATCATAGACTATCAGTAATGGCGGCTCGCCGGTGGTTGATGCAGACATGACCTGGTAAGGTATTTCGTTTTTATTACCTTGTTTGCTTGGTGGATTCTAATTTACCTTCCCTTTTTAAGGGTTCAATAACTAAAATAGGTTGGCTACTTATTTAAATTCATTGTTGATGATTTTTAGTTTTCCTTGATTGCTGACTTTTTGATTGGGCAATGGTTGATGGTTTAAGATAGTACGCTTGATTTAGTGTTTTTGGTTCTGCCTTAGCATGAATTTAGGTTGTGGTTCAATTCTGGAAATTTGGTGGTGTTTATGACTGGGTTTGCTGCTTGAAGTTTATATTCGTGGGGTGCAATGTTGGGAATCTGTGTTGGTCATTACGTTATTGATTTAAAAGCTAAAAATTCTTTCTTAGGATGATTGAATCTGGAGATCTGTGTGTGTATGGTGGCTATTAAGGCAGGAAGTTGTTCGTTCATGTATTTTCAACTGTTATGTGTTGTGATGGTTTTGGCCGGACATGAGTTGAGATTAGTCTGGGTACTTAGACTCATTTGTGGTTTTTATAAATTTAGGAAATGCTAGATAAAAAAACATAATAGAAGTTTAATCGAGATGATAGCTGAAGCATATATAGATAGCTATTAGTAAATTAGTAATTGTAGAAGTAATGTACATATCTGTGAGTTAGTAATCTTAACAGAAAGAAACTAACTTGAATGAAATTACTTGTATGCTATTTAATTTGTAGAGATAGAACTTTGGGGGGGGGGGGGGGACAAGTACATGGATGATGATAATAGTAAGTAGTTGGATTACAATGATGTGAAGTGCTTAAAAGGAAAGAAGATTCAGAATTTGATTCCTTTTAAGGTGTTTAGATTGATTTGTAATTTGGTTGGAGGTAATGAGTGATTATTTTCTCTTAAAAATCTTTGTTAATAAAAGTAGAAGTGAGATGAGTATGTTCTGATGATTGAATCTAAAGATGGTTAATTTTGCTTGATTGCCAACCTTTGTTTGAAGTTGATGACTGATTGTGCCTTCGTTCTTCCGTTTCTTGTATTTCGTCAACTTCTCTTCGCTCCTTGATTCCCTCTTCTTGTGTATTTTTTATGTTGTTGAGGCTTCTGCTTTTGGTATCGGTCATGAAGTAGGAGGGAATTCATTTTTTTTTGTCTTTTCTTTCTTTGTATGTTTGAGCAAGGAGAAGTGGAAAAGAGTTTCCTTGTTATTTTTGGTATGTGTATATGAGTCTTATCTGTTTTGTTGTCTGTGTGTGGCTGAAGAGGGAGATGTGGGTACGAGGTGGTTGTGTCTTTTGTATAGTTAGGAGGGGAAAGGAAAGTCCAGGAAGGTGGGAAACGGGGACAGTCTTGCAGGGGTAAGATTTTTGCAGAGTTTCATCTTCTGTGTACAAGAAGAAGAAGAGGAAGAAGAACGAAGGAGAAAACGGAAGGATGAAAGAAAGTGTGATAGACCATTGATTGCACATGTTTTTACCCCTATTCTTGAGCCGTTTGAGATGTTGATTCTCATGTTTTAAGCTGATTTCACGCTAGGTTGTGCGTTTATGTCATATTCAGGGCTTAGCTTTGGCATCGAGGCGAAGAAACGAGTTTCGGGTTGAAAGGAGCACGTTTGGGTTGAAGTGCGCTGGAGGAGCAAAATACCCGACCATGAGCAAAAATACTCAGCCGGGTATTAATCGGAGCAGACCGGGGAAAACCTGTTTTGGGCGTTTGAGAAGCAGAAGGGGGCCCGAGCATTAATCATGAATCCCCGATCGAGTATTCTTGACCCTGACCGGGGATTAACCCCCTGTCCCCGACAGTGCGTTTCAACAATCCCCAGTCGCGAACGCAGGCTGTTAAAAGCCTGTTATGTGCGTTTTTAAAATGGAGAGCTGGGTTTTGGATACCGAACACCCAAGGGATGAACCAAAGAGAGAGAGGGCGATTTGAGGGCATTCTTGGAATGGAATTGGAGGATTTCTTCGCCTTGGAAGCTCGAGAAACAAGCCCGGACTTGAAGACTGATCATCTGAAGATTCTTACTGCAGTCTCTCTCTTCTCTATGGAGTAACTTCCCTTCACTTAGGTTTTGAGGAACCCTAGCTATGTTTGTTTGATTGGATGATTGTATGAGTACTCCTACTTGATAATCTTGATTTCATATTCAATCTATCCATGTTTTCGTGATTCAATTATGCTTTAGTCGAGATTATTGATTCTGCTTTGATCCTATGAGAGCGAATACCTGATTAGGTCAATAGAGCACCATAGATTGATAATATTGGATCGATTGCTTTAGTCTAGGGTTGATTCACTGCTTTGTATCGATTGAGAACCTCGTTCGATAGAGGAAGTCTAGTTCAGAGCGCCTTGATCGGTTGTTCTAGAGAAGGATACGTCCCTCTAAGCAATCGACTCAAGAGGGCCTTGATCCTTTAGTCGAGATTCAAGGTCTAGCCAAGGATTCTTCGCATTGTGAATGAAAGTGAAACAAGTTAGAAATCATCAATCATTAATCTGGCTAGTGGCTAGGGGGAATCATACCTAAGTGAGTTCCCAACCTGTAATTAGATTAACTTTAACTGTAGTTTGTTAGAGTAGTTTTAGTTCTTCCATCTTAATGTGGTTTGCTAGATAATGAACTGAAGCTGAGTAATAGTAACTCTAGAGACCCGTGGATTCGATATTTATTACTTGAGCCACTATACTGCAGTCCCTTTTATTGGTTACATTTGGCCATTGTTAGGAGTTGTGTCATAGCGAGTCAAGTTTTTGGCGTCGTTGCCGGTGACTTTCTAGATTATTAGGAAAGGCAGAAGTTTGGTATTTTAGCGTTTTTCTTTTCCACCCTTGCTTTTCACTTGGGTGTTTTTGTTTTTGTTGGTGAAGATCTGTATCATGGATCCTCATGGCTTCTTCAACCATTGGGGGTATCCACCACCATCCGAGTGGTATTACCCCGAGACTCCGTGGAGCAATCAAGGAGGAGAAGACTATGGATTTGGGTTCCAGTACCAACCCCCTTACTACGTAGAACAATCAGACCCCTGGGCATATCAAGAACAACCTCATTACCAAGAAGAATTTCTCCCACAACCAGAAGGTCCATCGGAGCTAGAGTTACCCATGGCGGCCTTCACTGCCATTCTGCAGAGCCATGCTAACTCCACAGCCAGATCCAAACTATGAATTGAGGCTTCTCATGGAGCGGTATGCTCGAGACAGTGAGAGATCATGGTCTAGGATGGATCTTTGTACCCAGGCCTATCATGAAACAGAGGAGATCCTCTTGAGCATTAAGAAGAGACTCTATGATCTTGAGAAATCTTATGCACAACCTGCTCAAGATCACCCTTCTGCTAATATACAAGAAGAGGAGGAGGAAGACGAAGGTTACGAAGACATTGTGGAGCACATAGAAGTTGTCACGGAGAGCTCCCGTGATGATCATGATAAGGAATGTCCTGTCGTAGTCGACCACGCCTTCCCACATCCCACACTGAGCTTTGAAGATGCGTGCATGAGTGAGGAGATGAAAGAGGATCTCATCAAAGAAATTGCTTGGCGACTTGCCCTCCAATCCGTGCTAGAAAGAAGGGAGGTTGAAGAAGTTGTGGAGGATGACGAAAGTGAAGCAGAAGGAGTTCTTGATCATTTACCAGGGGTGATACCACATGAAGAAGGAAGGGGGGTTGAAGAAGCAATTGGCGTCCAGGCCGAGGACAAAGTTGAGGTGGAAGAGGCTTGCACCGGCCATGAGTTACATGTGATATCTCCACCAAACTTCGAGGAACTGCTTAGCAAGGACCCATTTGCAGTGTCTCTTTGCCAGACCACGGCCACATCGACATCAGTCCCTCTTGGTGGACGCAATGGTGGTCAATCAATGTTGTTATATCTGGTTTGGGGCAATGAGACAAGAGAAGAGAAGAAGAGGTCTTGAGGGCGGAGACTTCATCTGCATCAAGTGCACGAGCTTCCCTCACCTGTCATACCACATGCTCGTGACTTAAGACTCCACCTTATTGACGAGAACCTCAACTTCAAGGAGGTTTTGGGGTGGACCGAAACTTAGGAGCTACCGTCCGGCTCACGACGTGAAAGAAGCGCTTGTTGGGAGGCAACCCAACCAGTCGGTTTGCATTTCTTTCTCTATTTATCCTCGGTTGAGTCAGTTTTGTTATTTGATTTTAGAGTCAATAACTCATCCTTTGTCAGATTTTGTGTGGTGTTTGTGTTTCGACTACTCTTTCCTCCTGGAATGCACCGCCTGCCTCGTCCACCATCATTCACCCTTGATCTGGTAACTTTGTTCTACCCTCCTTATCTTTCCTCCATTGAGGATAATGTCGTGCTTAAGTGTGAGGGGATGTTCGATTATGTATGCGGGTGAATGTTTGGCTGTTTGGGTGCTTGGAGCCTAGTCCACTGTCCAAATTTTTAAATTTAAGGGCTCCAAGTACGTGTTTCCTTGCAAATTGCCTGCTCAGTATGCTTTGAATTGACAGTCTCTATAGTAATGTGAAACCTAGGGAGTTAGTGTAGCACTATGGAGGATGTTGAAGTATAAGATTTTTTCTATCTAGCTCTCTGTTGTGCCAGTTGATTTTGTGAATTAGTGAAGCTAAGACCGTTGAATTCATGTGGTAATGGTGACTCTGTTGGAATTGTGTTGTGGACTCATGTATCGAACAGGGTGCTCATGTGGGAAATGAAAAGCAGTTGGTCCTCCATGTCAAAATCATTGAAATCTTAAACATGGGGTAAGCCCAACGTGTGTGGCACCGTTCATTGCACAAAATCGGGTTTTGGAAGAGATTTTAGTGATCCTTAGTGGGGTACTCCTACAAGGTGAAGCTAAGCTGTCTCTAGTACAAGTAAAATATTCACCCATTGAACGATTTGTCTACTCGAGGATGTGTTTTTAAGGACACGGATAGAGCTTTCGAACCCCCTTAATTTCATTGACCCTCCACACGAGTTGAGGAAAAGGAGTTAAAAGAAGTACTTTGGCGAGCGCCAGATGTATAGAAATTGCTCTTGCTCGACTAATAAGGGTCAACCGTGCAAAAGACTACAGTTGGAACCCCCGCTAAGTGAACGAAGAAAAAAAAGAAAGGAATGTAAAACGAAAGTGAAAAAAAGGGTTCCAACGGTGAAATGAAGTGAAAGAGCACCCCGGTACAACAAGTCCTTGGTTGTGAATGGTGTGAGTCCCTTTATCCATGAACTGGTTGTCTTACTTCTACTTCTTCTCATGATCCTGGCTTGAGTCTAGTACTCGCATTGAGAGAGATAGGGGGCGTCTTAGAAGACCAGTTGACCGCGTAAGCTGCTTTATGATCTAGGAAATCCTCTACCGACGATCGGGGTTGTTTGTTGCTATAGAGGTCTGGAGAGTTGCATTGGTTTGAGTTAGGTTTTCTTGGGGACAAGCAAACGTTTAAGTGTGGGGGAGTTTGATAGACCATTGATGGCACATGTTTTTACAACTATTCTTGAGCCGTTTGAGATGTAGATTCTCGTGTTTTAAGCCGATTTCACGCTATGTTGTGCGTTTATGTAGTATTTCAGGGCTTAGCGTTGGCATCGAGGCGAAGAAACGAGTTTCGGGTCAAAAGGAGCAGGTTTGGGTTGAAGTGCGCTGGAGGAGCAAAATACCCGGCCATGAGCAAAAATACCCGGTCGGGTATTAATCGGAGCAGACCGGGGAAAACATGTTTTGGGCGTTTGAGAAGCAGTAGGGGGCCCGAGCATTAATCATAAATCCCCGATCGGGTATTCTTGACCCTGACCGGGGATAAACCCCCTGTCCCCGACGGTGCGTTTCAACAATCCCCGGTCGCTACCTAAAATACCCGACCAGGTATTCTGATCGGGGATCGCGAATCAGGCTGTTAAAAGCCTGTTTTGTGCGTTTTTGAAAAGGAGAGCTGGGTTTTGGATCCCAAACACCCAAGGGACGAACCAGAGAGTGGGCGATTTGAGGGCATTCTTGGAGTGGAATTGGAGGATTTCTTCGCCTTGGAAGCTCGAGGAACAAGCCCAGACTTGAATACTGATCATTTGAAGATTACTGCACTCTCTCTCTTCTCTATGGAGTAACTTCCCTTCACTTAGGTTTTGAGGAACCCTAGCTATGTTTGTTTGATTGGATGATTGTATGAGTACTCCTAATTGATAATCTTGAGTTCATATTCAATCTATGCATGTTTTCATGATTCAATTCTGCTTTAGTCGAGATTATTGATTCTGCTTTGATCTTATGAGAGCGAATACTTGATTAGGTCAATAGAGCACCATAGATTGATAGTATTGGATCGATTGCTTTAGTCGAGGGTTGATTCACTGCTTTGTATTGATTGAGAACCTCGTTCGATAGAGGGAGTCTAGTTCAGAACGCCTTGATCGGTTGTTCTTGAGAAGGATATGTCCGTCTAGGAAATCGACTCAAGAGGGCCTTGATCCTTTAATCGAGAATCAAGGTCTAGTAAAGGATTCTCCGCATTGTGAATGAAAGTGAAACAAGTTAGAAATCATCAATCATTAATCTGGCTAGTGGCTAGGGGGAATCATACATAAGTGAGTTCCCAACCTGTAATTAGATTAACTTTAACTGTAGTTTGTTAGAGTAGTTTTAGTTCTTCCATCTTAATCTGGTTTGCTAGATAATGAACTGAAGCTGAGTAATAGTAACTCTAGAGAGTCGTGGATTTTATATTTGTTACTTGAGCCACTATACTGCAGTCCCTTTCATTGGTTACACTTGGCCATTGTTAGAGGTTGTGTCATAGCGAGTCAAAATGTAAGTAAGAAGCATACTTTTTTTGTTGTTGTTCTCGTCCGTCCCCCTTTCCCAAGAGCTAAAGGCTCTTTTATAGTAAAAATTGTACTGTTTACATATTGTGTTGGCAGCTTCTGATTGGTTCTCAGAGGGTATAGTTGCCGCCCTCTATTTGTGAGTGGCTTCTGGATTGGATTGGATTGGATCAAACCGGTTTGGTTCGAATGGATTGGGTTTGTCTGCCTAGCCTTGACTTGGGCTGGTCCGGTTTGACATGGGCTTTAGTCAATTTGACCTTAAGTTTACTTGAGTTTGGGCTCTGACCTGAGCTTTGACTTAGATGTTAGTAGCCTTGGGCTTTGACTGATGGCTGATTTGGGCTGACTTTTGTATTGGTCTTTGATTTGTGTAGTGGGCTTCTTTTTATTCTTATCAATCACTATTGTGATGAATTGTAATTGTGATAATGGAATGTTCTTTTTTTTTTAAATTCAATGGAGAGTCAATCTCGCGCATGACATTGAATCAATCAACTCTATTGAATTGATTAAACGAGGATTAAGACACCCAAAACTCCATCGAAAAATACCATGGCGATCCAACGCAAGCAACTTTGAACCATTCTTAGATTGGCTACTGCCAGTCCCGTTGTGTCTATGTGAATACTCACAAATTTGTAATAATTTAAATATTTAGATAAAAAGGACGAGTAAGAATCGCAATTATCAATATTAAAAGAATTAAAGTTTCCTAGTTGATTATGTATTAACTCGGACAAAATGGGGTGTCTACAGCTTGCATAAGCCCGTTCCACCTTCTCGTCCAATAATGAGAGGCTATAGCTTGCACAAGCTTCTCCTCCAATAATGAGAGGCGATAGCTTGCACAAGCTTGTGCCACCTTCTCTTCTAGTGTCAAACCGAGAGGAGGGAGGGGTTGGAAATCCGTGTTGGAGCTTGTTCTTGCAAAATTCTCCATGGAAAGCTCCAACTTGGACTTCGCTTTGGGTTGTGGGAGATTCAAGTTCGAGCACCCTTCATTGGTGCCTCGAACAAACCGCTCCACCATGTGCTCCAATTGGCTCTTCGGCTCAGGTTGTGGAGTGGCACATGGTCTTGAAGAATGCCCCATGAAAGCTTCCATTGCCAACTCCAACTTGGATTTCTCCTCGACTTGAGGAGGGGAGTTTTCTTCATATGGGGAAGCCTCTTCATATCCCCAATGGTATGGTTCTTCTTCTTGGAAGGGAGCTTGATCATAGAACCCGGTTCCTTGGCTTCCACCTTCTTGACTACTCCATGAAGATCCAGGGTACCCCCATTCGGGTGATTGTGAATACCCCCACATATTGTAGAATCCAAGAGGATCAATGATTCAACCTAAAAACACAAAAACAAAGTCAAACAAACACAAACCACCCTTCTAAGTGAAGAGTGGGTCAACAAAAACAAAACACAAAATAAAACGGCTAAAGTAACGACCTTACACTTGTTCAAATAACCTAGAATTGTTACCCAACAACGACACCAAAAATTTGACTCGTTCTAACAACAAGATCCCGATCGACATCCAGGTATAACCGTCGACTGCGTGTAGCATAGGGCAAGCAAGCAATAAGAATTTATCGTACCACAGTGATATAGGCTTACCCTACTTCAGGTTTAGGGTTCGTTATCTAGCCAACCTAGGATAGTGATTGATAGAATTAAACTAACTAACCTAGACTAACCACTAACCTAGCTACTTAGAAGGTGGGGAGATCTCTTGGGTTCAATCGTCCTTGGTTCGTTCTTTGGATCGATGTTGGGTATCCTCCTAGCTCGATCGACTCAACTACACTACCAATTGGAGATGGACTCCCTCGGGAACGACCCGGAATGACAAATCGATGGATGGGTAGTGCTCTATTCACCCTAGGGTTTCGTATAATGCTAGGAGACAGGTCTAATCAACTTCCACGGGGAATACCCGGACAATATACGATAGGAGTGACCCGAAGACGCCAAAAGGGGGCTCTTAGGATATTATCTCCCTCCTAGGTCAAAATCTCAATACATGAAAATGGAAACCCAACTCATGCCATTCATGGAAACATCTAACGATTAAGTAAAATCATCAATCAATCATGGAGTTTTTCAGATACATCAACATTAAACCCAAATCTAGACCCAGGGTTCTTAAACCCAAGAGAATAGGGTGAGTTTCTAGAGAGAGAGGAGAGATTACAAACAAACCTCTAGATCTTCATCTTCTTCTTCTAGGCTTGATTCCTAGCTTCCAAGCTTGATCAATGCTTTCAATTAAGTTCTAAGATCACTCTCTCACTCTCTAGAACTCCCCTTTGGTGTTTTGGTTTGAAACCCTAGAGAAAGAAAGTGTTCATTCTCCAAATAACCAGCTCTCCCTTCTTCTTCCTTCCTCTGATGTTTTTATACCCAGGTCGAGCCTAGTTCACGGCCTGCCTCTGTTCACGATCGTGAACACCTTAACCATCCGTGAACTCAGTGTCGTCTCCAAAACGCACCGCTTCACTCTCCAGGGTTCACGGTTTGCACTCAAAGTTCACGGTCCTAGAGACCGTGAACTGCTTGGTCGTCAGTAACCTCTGGAACCTCGCTGGACGCCTCGTTGTTCACTATTTGAGGTTCCAGTTCATGGTCTTGGGAGACCCTGAAATCCAATGCTGGATCGTGAACTGAGGCTACTTCATGGAAGCCTGCGCTTCATTATTACGGGGCAATTGGGACGTTTTTCACTTTTTGGCACTTTTCAACCTCCAATCGACCCGAAACTCGTCCTCGACCTTCCCACACGTGCTAGGACCTTAAATGTATCAAAACAAACACAAGATAGCGTGAAATATGTCGAGGGAAGATGAAATGCAAAGCCAAACTATCAAGATATGAGGGGTAAAATATATATGTACAATTGGACCCGAATCAAAAGTACTAAAGATGCATTGACAGAAGGGAAAATATATCAAATATGGGAGTGATAAACATTATAAATTTAAGTGTCATAAGAAATGATAAACACTATAAATTAAGTGTCATAAGAAATACCACACACTACTATAGCATTAGACCCTTATTTGGTTGAGCAAGAGCTAGAAGTTCCTATACCTTCACTCGTGCGAAGGGTCAATGGAATTAAGGGGTGTCGGAAGGTTTATCCCTACCCTTAAAAACACATCCTCGAGTTGGCTATCAATTCAATGAATGTAAATTTTACTTGTACACGAGAGGAACTAACATCACCTTGTACGACTTTCCTACTAAAGTTCAACTAGTATCTCTTCCAAAACTCGATTTTGTGCAATGAAAAGGTGACTAGCATGTTGGGATCACCCTACACTTTATTTCTCAACATATCATGGCAATTTTCAAATGATAACAATGTCTTCATAGGTAGATTTTGCATTTTCTTTGGGGTAAAAATAATTTATTAGCCAAACCTTTCAAAAAAAATTCAAATTATTAGCCCACTTTTCGAAATACAAAATATTAGTCAGAGAGCGAGGAAGAGATCACTGCCGAAAAAAATATGGGGGACCCCAACAATCAAGTGGCAAATGTGAATGTAAACCAACCGCCACCCATACCAAATGCGGGTCAGCCTCAGCCAAAGGCTGGGACCATAGGGTACTTCTTGACTCGTAGGGCCAATGAACGCAGTCCAGGTATTTAACATCCTCATGTTGCAACAAACAACTTTGAGGTGAAGACTTAGGTGATACAGATGTTGAAGACCTCGATAGTCTTTAATTGGTTAGAAAGAAAGTATCAATAAGAGCATCTCAACCAGTTTCGCGAGCTTATCGAAGGGATCAAGATAAATGGCGTGTCGTAGAAGGTGATCTGGCTACACTACTTCCCTTTCTCTCTAGATGGAAGAGCCAAGTTGTGGTTGGACAACTGTTAGCCCGGGTCGATCAGATCTTGGGAGGATCTGCTAAAGAAGTTCCTGATCCACTATCACCCCTCATCCAAGACCGCAGATTTACAAAAGTAGATCACCCACTTTGCACAGGAGGATGATTAGACCCTTAGAGATTCCTGGGAGAGATACTCAGGTCTCTTTCTAAAAAGGTTCAGCGACTCCTTCAAAATGCGTAATTTTTACATGGTTATCCTTCCCGAAAGCCGTAAGGAAGCATGCTTAACAAAACTCCTCCGCATATGATGCATCTTTTTGAGGACATGGCAGTCCAGGGGTATGACTGTGGAAACACGAGGAGAGGTTGGAGTCCTCAAGGTAGAGGTGTCCATTCTGTTGAGGCTCAACCATCACCTCTGGAGTCGAGAGTTTTTGAGCTGATTACGGTGATCGACCGTAATGGAGGACTAGGTGGAGGCCCATGCAAGTCTCGGGTTATGTATTGTCAATGCTGCGAGAACACAATCCACATGGTGGAGGACTACCAGGCAATGAGGGAATCCAACACACCTTAGGAGCAGTTGAACTTCATCAGCAATGCCAACCGCATAGACCCCTATAGCAACACGTAAAATGAGGAGTGGCGCCAGCATCTGACATTCTCTTGGGGTGGCAACAGTGGCTCCAAGCCACCTGGTTTCAAAGCTCCTGCTCCAGGGTATCAATAGAGGCAGCCCTATCAACCTCACTAGGGCCTTTAGTGCCAGCTGCAACAATAACCTTAGTATCAGCTCCAGGGGACATCAGCAACTGCTCCACCACAGCCTCAAGACAATATGTCTAAGCTGGAGGAATGGTAAACAAATTTGTGAGTACCAATGCCTAGAGGTTGAATAAGATGGACCAATTCATGGAACTTCGAGTGGGGAAGTTCTCAAATCTTGAAGGCGGCCAACATCACCAGCAGGCCATACTACAGGACCACCAGACCCAGATTGAGAATGTGGCCCAAACTTTGGCCAACAACCCTTCGGTTACTCTACCGGCCAACCCCAACCCCAATCCAAAGATCCACCTGCCGACTGCAAGAACATTTCCCTCTGGAGCAGGAAGAAGACTACTGATAGTTATTCTATAGATTGAGCAGCCAGCACTAGAAGTACAGTCTTTTGGTATCGAATTATGTTGTGGCACGCACACACGTGGGTGCTAGTTCTAACGATTACTTTGAGCAATGTTATGTGATAAGTACAAATGGCTTGGAAGAAATTCAGACGGAGGACGATTTGGAGAGCACAAAAGAGGTTCAAGAGTTGGAACAAGAATCGGGGTAGGACCACTACTCCCATCTCCCAAGATTCTAACTTCTTTGGAAGAACCCGCTGAGTTGGATTTGAAGCCACTCCCTAGCCACCTTGAGTATGCCATCTTGAGAGAAGCGAGAAAACTTCATGTCATCATTAGCTCCAATCTCACCCGGATATAGAAGTCAAGGTTAGTGGATCTCCTGCTGAAACATGAGAAGGCAATCGCATGAAAGATCACTGACATCCAGGGAATCATCCCTTGTATCTGCTCTCATAAGATCCTCATGGAAAATGAAGTCAAATCTGTCCGTCAACCTCAACAATGGGTGAATCCTAACTTGGAGGAGGTGGTGGAAGCAGAAGTGGTGGATGTTGGGATCATCTACCCTATCTCGGATAGTAGTGGTTAAGCCCCACACAATTGGTACCAAAGAAGCGAGGTATGACAGTTGTAGCAAACAAGAAGAATGAGCTCATTCCCACTAGAATCGTGACATGATGGCAAGTGTACATTGATTATCGAAAGTTGAATGATGCCACTAAGAATGACCATTTCCCTTACCTTTTATCGATAAGATTCTTGAAAGGCTTGCACAACATGATCTCTACTGCTTCTTGGACGGGATGTCGGGTTACTTCGACATCCCTATCTCCCTAAAAGATCAGGCTAAACTAACCTTCACATATCCTTTTGGTACCTTTGAATATTGGCACATTCCATTCGGCCTATGCAATGCCCAAGCCACATTCCAGAGGTCCATGGTGGTGATTTTTGACAAACTAGTGGGGGTGATCATGAAAATGGATGACTTCTCAGTTTTTGGGGACTTTTTTCTCAATGCCTTGGCAACCAACATAAGGTTTTGAAAAGGTGCGAATAAAAAAATTGGGCCCTTAATTGAGAGAAGTCTCATTCCATGGTACGAGAATGACTCTTCTTGGGTCACAAGATATCAAAAAGAGGTATTGAAGTCCACAGGGCAAAGGTTGATACCATCCGTAAGCTTCCACATTCAACTTTCATCAAGGGGATCCGAAGCTTCCTTGGCATGCAGAGTTCTATAGACGATTCATTGAGAACTTCCCAAAGATTGCACTACGATTAACAAAACTTTTTGAGAAGGAATCATAGTTTTTTTCACAAATGAATGCTCCATGGCATTTGAAATCTTGAAGCCAAAGCTCACCAATGCCCCAATTATGGTCTCACTAGACTGGATACTTCCCTTCGAATTGATGTGTGATGCAAGTGACTATGCAATGGGAGTAGTGTCGGGACAACAGAAAGGAAAGTATTTTCAACCTATATGTTATGATTCCAAGACTTTGAATAGAGCTTGACTCGCTAAAACACAAATCCTAACAATGGCCAAGTGTAATCAAAGAAAGAGACTACAATATAGTGGTGCAAATAATAAATATTGAATCCTCGGGTCTCTAGATGTCCTATTACTCAATTTCAATTCATTATCTAGCAAATCATATTAAGGATTGATTAACTAAACTACTCTACTAATTAAACTAAGCAAAAATACTAATTACAGGTTGGGAACTCACTTATGTATGATTCCCCCTAGTTTGCAATTAGGCTAATTTGTAGTTCATCGTATGATTTCAATCCAATTCAGTTGACAAATATACTACGGAAAGTTCTTGACAAGTCTGGAATCTCGACTAAAGAAGACCAGGCCCTGTTGGTTCGAATACCCAGCGGGCGGCTAACCTCCAACATCATAAACTAACCAAAGCAATAACACACCAAACTTCCTCTGCTGGCTTTAATTCTAGTACAGAGCAGTGAATCGATTTCTCGACTAAAGCAATCGATCCACTACTTCCAATTGAGGTTTCTCTATTAACCTATGCAGAGATTATTGTTCTAGGTTAAAGCATGAATCACAAAAGTTTGATCATGACTCAAGTAATTCTGATTCAATGCCTCAACTGAATATAAAACTTCAATCAATCATGAATTCAAGTTCATACAGCTCTTCCTAGCATACAAATCTAGGTTCCTCAAAATTTAAGTGAAAGGAAGTTACTCCATAGAGTAGAGAGAGAATGCAGAAATATGATCTAGATCTTCAATCTCCAAACTTGTTTCTTGAGCTCCAATGGCGAAGAAATCCTCCAAAATAGCTCCAAGAATGTTCGCAAGGTGCTCTCTCTCTCTAGGGTTCGTCCTTTGGGTGTTTGGGATCCAAAACTCTGCTCTTTCCCTTCAAAATCCAAAAAACGCATTTATACAGCTCACAGAAGCCAAGTTACAGCCCCAAGTTACAGCGTAACCTTTGGGGTTTAGGCCGCAACTTCTGGAGTGTATTTTGTCTTTCGCTCATTTTCCCCTCATCTGAACTCCAAATCAATCGGCGTTTGATCCCAAACGCTCTTAATCTCGTCCTCTTTATTTCCATGCCTAGATTACATGGCTCTTTGTCCATAAAATGAGGTAGAAATCCATTCTTCCATGGGTCATGCCCGAGTTTCTTCCCTCGAGTCGCCAATTGATCTCCGATTGACTTGAAACTTGTGCATATGCTTCACTTTACGTGCTAGGACCTGAAATGTGATAAAAGAACACAACTTAGCATAAAATAGGCCAAAGTATGATAAACACCAAGCTAAACAATCAAGAAATGAGGGGGTAAAAACATGTGAAAATTCAATGTTATCAAATTCCCCCACACTTAACCGTTTGCTTGTCCCCAAGCGAATCTGACTCAAACCAATGCAACTCTCCAGACCTTTACAACAACATGCAATCCCGATCATCGATAGAGGACTTCCTAGGTCATTTAGCAGCTAACAAGGTCAACTAGTTTTCTAAGACATGCCCTATTTCTCTCAATGAGAGTTCTAGACTAAAACAGGATCATGCAAAGTACTGGAACTAGGACAAAAAGTTCATGGATTAAGAGACTCGCCCACATAAAAACCAAGGACTCTTCGTATCGGGTGCTCTTTCATTTCATTTCAATTGTTGAAACCCCTTTTCGTACTTTTGTTTTCTTTTTCTTTTGTTTTCCTCATTCACACTTTGTTGGGGTTCCAAACTGCAGTTTTATGCGTGGTCGACCCTTATTTATTGAGCAAGAGCAATTTATATACATCTTTCACTCGCCAGAGTACTTCTTTTAACTCCTTTTGCTCGACTCATGTGGAGGGTCAATGAAATTAAGGGGGGTCAGAAGCTCTATCTGTCCCCTTAAAAACACATCCTCAAGTAGGCATACCATTCAACGGGTGGAATTTTACTTGTACTAGAGATGACTTAGCTTCACCTTGTAGGCCTACCCCACCAAGGATCACTAAAATCTCTTCCAAAACTCGATTTTGTGCAATGAACGGTGCCACACACGTTGGGCTTACCCCATGTTTAAAATTTCAAATTTTTCGACATGGAGGACCAACTGCTTTTTCATTAATCAGACTGAGCACCCTTCTACGATACATGAGTTCGCAACAAAGCACAAGGAGAGTCATCAATACCACATGAATCAAAGGTCCTTAATCCACTAGTTCACACAATCAGCTGGCACAACAAAGATAAAGATAGGACAAATCTTATACTTCGACATCCTCCATAGTGCTATAAATACCTCCCTAGCTTGCATATTACCACAAAGACTGTCAATTCAAAGCATACTGAGCAGGTTATTGCAAGGAATAGTACTTGGAGCCCTCAAATCAAAATTTGGACTAGGCTCCAAGCACACACATGCAACCATACATTCACATGCATTCATAATCGAACACCCCCACACTTAAGCACGACATTGTCCTTAATGGAGGAAAGATAAGGAGGATAGAACGAAGTTACCAGATCAAGTTTGCATGATGGTGGACAAGCCAGGCGGTGCATTCTAGTAGGAGAGAGAGCAGTCAGAACACAAACTCTCACAAAGGTTGAGTTATTGACTCTAAAATCAAAGAACAGAACTAACTCAACCAAAGAGAAATAGGGAAAGAAATGAAAATCGACTGGTTGGGTAGCCTCCCAACAAGCACTTCTTTCACGTCGTGAGCCGGGCGATAGCAACTATGTTTTGATCCACCCTAAAACCTCCTTAAAGTTGAGGTTCTCGTTCATGAGGTGGAGTCTCAAGTCACGAGCATGTGGTGTGGTGTGGCGAGTGATGAAGGCTCGTGCACTTGATGTAGATGAAGTCTCCATCCTCGAGATCTCTTCTTCTCTTCTTTCATCTCATTGGCCCAAACTAGATATGACAACATCGATTGACCACCATCGTGTTCACCAGGAGGGACCGTTGTCGATCTGGCCTTGGTATGGCCAAGAGACACTACAAATGAGTCTTTGCCAAGCAGCTCCTCGAAGTTCGATGGAGATATCACATGTAACTCATGGCTAGTGCAAGCCTCTTCCACCTCAACTTTGTCCCAGGCATGGACGACAATTGCATCTTCAACCCCCTTCCTTCCTCAGAATTTGCTCCCCTTGTGAAAGATCAAGAACTTCCTATGATTTACTTCCGTCATCCTCCACAACTTCTTTCCTCATCCTTTCTCGCTCTTCTTCTTCCAACACGGATTGGAAAGCAAGTCGCCAAGAAATGTCTTTGATGAGATCATCTCGCATCTCCTCACTCATGCCCACCTCTTCAAAGCTTGGTGTGGGATGTGGAAAGGTGTGGTCGGCTAAAATAAGACATTTCTAATCATGATCATCACAAGAGCTCTTCGTGACAACTTCTGTCTGCTCCACAATATCCTTGTAGCCTTCGTCTTCCTCTTCCTCTTCCTCTTCTAGTATGATAGCAAAAGGGTGATCTTGAGCAGGCTGTGCATAAGCTTTCTCAAGATCCTCGAGGCTCTTCTTAATGCTCCGGAGGGTCTTCTCTGTTTCATGGTAGGAGAAATCAGTTTGGGCAATGGCCTAGGTATAAAGATCCATCTTGGAGCATGATCTCTCCATATCTCAGCAAACTACTCTACGAGAAGCCTCAAGTGATAGTTTGGATATGGCTGTGGGAAGAATAATTCTTGATAAGGATTTTGTTCTTGAAATGCCCAGGGGTGTGATTGTTCTTCGTAGTAGGGGGGTTGTTCTTCCCGGAACCCAAATCCGTAGCCTTCTCCATACTGGTTATCCCATGATGTCTCATGGTAATACTAACTGGGTGATGCTTGATACCCCCACTGTTCGGAGAAGCCATGGATTCATGATTCAGAACTGCACAATCACAAATAAAAACACCCAAGTGAAAAGCAAGGGTGGAAAAGAAAAAAGAAAAAAAAGCTAAAGTAACAAATCTAGGCCTTTCCTAATAATCTAGAAGGTCCACGGCAACGACGCCAAACACAAATCCTTACTATGGCCAAGTGTAACCAATGAAAGTGATTGCAGTATAGCGATGTAAATAATAAATATCGAATCCTCCGGTCTCTAGATGTACTATTAGTCAGCTTCAGTTCAATATCTAGCAAATCAGATTAAGGATTGATTAATTAAACTACTGTACTAACTAAACTAAGTAAAACTACTAATTACAAGTTCCGAACTCACTTAAGTATGATTCCCCCTAGTTTGCAGTTAGGCCAAGTTGTAGTTCAACCAATCCAATTCAGTTGACAAATATACTGTGGAAAGTTCTTGACAAGTTTGGATTCTCAACTAAAGAAGACCAGACTCTCTATTAACCTATGCAAAGACTATCGTTCTAGGTTAAAGCAGGAATCACAAAAGTTTGATCAGGACTCAAGTAATTCTAAATCAATGCCTCAACTTAATATAAAACGTCAATCAATCATGAATTCAAGTTCATACAACTCTTCCTAGCATACAAATCTAAGGCTCCTCAAAAATCTTAGTGAAGGGAAGTTACTCCATAGAGAAGAGAGAGAATGCAAAAATCTGATCTAGATCTTCAATCTCCATCTCCGAGCTTGTTTCCCAAGCTCCAATGGCAAAGAAATCCTCCAAATAGCTCCAAGAATGTTCCCAACGTGCTCTCTCTTGGGTTCGTCCCTTTGGTGTTTGGGATCCAAAACCCAACTCTCCCCCTTCAGAATTCTCAAAAAAACGCATTTATATAGCTCACAGAAGCCAAGTTATGGCCGTAACTTACACTTTTTATCTGCGATTCTCTTTGATGTTGGTTGCAATTGAACTCCAAAAAGGTTGTTTTTATGCGAGGTTGCTTGT